GGGGCAGCAGCTGGGAGAGGGACAGGGAGCAGGTGGCCAGATCCCCCCCAGCACTGGCTCCTATTCCCTCCCCCTGCTGCCTCTGATACAGAGGCAGCGGGAGAGGGGGAGTGAGTACTTGATTCGACTACCTGATAAGCTTAGGCTTATCAGGTAATCAACTACTCGACTATTCGCTCACATCCCTAATGCACACCAGGTATCAAAAGATTCACCAGTATTATCACATGATTGACTACAGGAGTTATTAGGGATCTTGATAAACAACCTGAAATACAAGACTGCTTCTGTGAAATATTTGGAATTCATAGGGACACAATTAAATACCATTTATTTTACTTTTATGAGTCCTTGAAGTTGTGACCTGAACAGAAACAGTTAAGCAGTTGACTAGAGACATATTTTCAGGACAAACTGCATCTTAGATCCCTTTTTAGTCCCAATCAAATGCCTCTCTTAGGTAACAAACCAGTCTTTCTATACCTCATTCTGGTTTGACCACTTACATACTGGCTCTCTAGGCTGCAGTACAACTGGCTCACAACTATGGTAACAACCCAATTTTGGGTCCCGTAAGAGTTTCCATTTGGTTGCCAGTGACAGTGTACACTAGCAGTGACACAAGTAGTGTCTCCAAGACCAAGCATATGATGTTCACTTCTTAAAGATAAACTGCATTTTGCTAACTGAGTTAATACAACGAAAGATACAGATGTGCACCTCCTTCAAAAAACTTACCTCTCTAACTGTAGCTCCAGGAAGTGACTGTTGTCCAACTCACACCAGGCTCCCCCCTCTCTCTGTCAATCTGGGTGTCAGCTTCCATGTGCTCACAACCCATCCTGTTCTTTCCCAAGTCTGCATTTTTTTTTAAATTTAGCATTCTCTTTTGATCTTAGGCTCAGTCTAAGATTAAATCATCCTAGCCTGAATAGAGTCAGTTGGGGTATTTCTCCAACAAAAAGCTTTTCCCTTGTTTCTTCCAGGACTCTCAGTGTCATTGTTTTATTTCCCATTGGTTTCTCCCTAAATGGTCTCTCTTGATTTTACTCCTGAAAGTCAGGTAAGGTATACCTGGAATAACTGTGGGGCACCTGATATTCATTAAAAATTACACAATCTCCTCACTGCCCATAGCCAGTATTACCTTAGACAATGTGTTGAACATTAGCCTTGATGTTTGCCATGGTGTCCATGGAAAAATGTTTCATTACTTATGAATGATCAGAGCTTGAATTTATCTTCCATCTACCAAGTTCTAACATATTGAAAAGTTTCTCGAACACTTATATCTACACACTCTCACACACCTACACTTTCAATAAACATTAGGTTGCATTTTAAGTTAATTTTAGGATGTTTTCAGATTTTTTTACATTGTCAAGGGGAAATTTTGATCATGACTTGAAAGCAATGAGGTGTTAAAGACTACAATGTTCCTGATTATCTAAAGTATCAATTTACCACAGTGGTAAATATTTATCTAACATTTTCAAAAATGTAAAAAAGTTAGTTATATAGGAACATCAAAAAGTATGGTATTAACATGAAGTTAGGAAAATACTTATTCTATCCATTCTAACAACAAAATGCCTAGTCATTACCGTGTTAACATTATTTTACTAAATGCACATCCGGATTCTGTCTATACGAAGGTCAAAAGTTAAAAAGAGATTACTATACCTGCCCAAAAGGCACAAAAGGGGGTGGTCCACCTTCTGTTCCAATGTTGCTTCTATTGTGTTTTGATAAACTCTATAAAATTAAAACAAATAGCTTTTGATTAATAAGCTTCAAAAGAATACATGGCAAGGTTACCTGACAAATGTGTCAGAATTTTGGGAAGTTAATGGAAGTGGCAAGATAAAAAAAAAATCGCAAACATTATAAAAATGTTTGCTTTATGCCTCTCATTTAGCTTGACTAATGAACTTCAAACAGGAAAGATCCTTTAATATCAATATCTCTTAGATAAGGTAAATGTGTTTTCAAAAACCAAGTCCTTCACAACATAAAAATTTCTTGAGTCACTGTATCCTAAACCAGAGAAATAAAACTAGAATGTGAAGAGAGGAAGCCTGTTTAAAGAAATGCAAGTGACTAGTTTACTAGCAAAAGCAGGAACTCGACTAGTCACTTCCTCCCCTCCTTTGCTGCCTCTATCAGAGAAATAAAGTATCTTAAAAGGCGTGCATCTGAAATGCTAGTATCAAAGGAAGAGAAACAGAAGTTGGAGAACTGGGCTGGATTTTTAGTGACATGAAAAAGAGATGTGTAACTTATAAAATCTTCATAGCACTAAATTGTGTAACTTTGGGAACATAGATTCTACGGAGGATGAACAAAACACTGATGCAAGAGATAGCTTTCCAGAGATTGATATAAAATGGAACCTCTCACCTGTGCAATATTATTCATGTTTTAGAGTTGTGGGGGCACCTGTGTCCCACGTACTGTATGCAGCCCATCAGGGTAATCCACTGGCAAGCTGCAAGACATTTTGCTGACATGGACTGTCCACGGACATGGCCTCTTGCAGCTACCAGTGGCCTCGGTTCACCATTCCCGGCCAATAGGAACCGTGGAAAGTGGCAGTCTGTGGCCTGTCTCTTCCCACAGCTCCCATTGTCCACAAACAGCAATCAGTAAGGAGCTGCAGGGGGCCATGCCTATGATAGTCAACATCAGCAGAATGTCTTCCAGCCCACCTGCAGATTACCCTGACAGAGCAATAAACATGACTGACACTGGTTATATATCCTCATATATATTTCATAATGAACCAAATGCAGTCAAGCAAAGAGTTCACAATTTATCAACAGCACCATATATACACTGAAAGCTTGTGACTATAAGACAATGTAGCATTGACATATGCAACTTATTGTACTTTCACATTTCAATGTAATTACAGACTATTAGACCTATTTGACATCACAGATCAATTTCAATCTACTTTAAACCCCTGAAATAGTTAGTAACCCAATTCTAGTACCTAAGAGGCATCTTTGTAGCCTATATTCTAATCTGAGGAGACAGAAATGTTTAGATGTGATTATTTTTCTGTCAGTCTAAAGACTGAGTTTTAAAGAATATTAGCAAAGCTATACACCTGGGAGTCCTTACCTTTGGAATCCTCATTCCAGATGTGGAGCCCACAGGATAGGAGATAATGCAATCTGATTTAGCAATTAGGACGTGATTTTTATGAAGACAGTAAGGGTGTGAACGTTTAACTGGTAAGTCTCACCCTTAATGGGTGAGACTTTACAGTCAAGGCCCACAGGGGGCTGGTTAAACAATATATTTAACCATTAGCCAATTAAAAGGAATTTCACACCTCTAGAAGGCAGCATTAATTAAGGAAACCTATATCGTTAATATATTATATTGATTTTTAACAACTATTTTTCAATTACAGAAGCAAAAAAAGGCATATTAGTACACATTTTCTTTGTGTATTTTTATGATTCAACATAATTTAAATCCATAACTCAGTTTGCCCAGAAAGGTTTTTTTTTAAAAATGTTTCACACCATGAGACCAAAGATAATGTTCTTTGTTATGGTTGAAACGTTTGCCAACATTAGGGCCTGTTGGAAATAATGCTCATGGATAAAAGGCTTTTTGATGAGTTGACATATACAACAGGTCTATTTTCTGAACCAGTAAATACTTAACAGTTCAGTGGACTAAAATACCTCAGTGGTCCCTACGTCCATCTGACAAAGGGATTCAATCTCCAGCAGCCATTTAGTATTACAGAAATCAATTAACAGACTAGAACATTGTCACAAGTCCAGAGTTTCCTGCTCTGGGAATAATCATTACTGCTTTGTGTTAACATTTATATAGGAGAAGGAAACAGCCAGCTTGTAACATTTTCTCCACTGATATGCTCTCCTAATTTGGGCACATTTGAGTGGAGTGAATTAAATCAAAACTCTTTATAGTTTCTTTAAAAACTCTTAATACTTTCTGTTTATGTTAAGTGATTGCAGCCTTATTTATGCTCCTGTTGAAGTATAAGCTCCAATTTTGTCTAAGCATAGTTATAGCTTGCAGGGTTCTAACATAATTTCCCTTGCCATTGTAAAAAGAAATTTACTTTTATGAATTAGTGATAGAAAACTTTATTACAGACCACAACTGAAAAGTTTTATCTTAGAATATGTTGAAAGAAAAAAAGAACCCCTATATGCAATGGTCAGGGAACCCACAAGAATCCTTACAACCATCACCACACTTAAAGACATTGCAACAGGCCACATCCCTGCTTCAGGTGAAGAGAACAATTAAAGACACTTTGCTGGCCAAGATAATTTTTAACCCACATTTTAAGTTTAAAATTCTGAAGAACCAAAAAGGTATCATTTGCTGCTAAAAAGTTTTCTTTGATTTCTACATATTCGGCATCTGAACTGCAGCACAAAACATTCCATTTATTTACAGCGATTTGGCTTTACCTATAATAAATAATTAGTACATGAAATATCTAGATTTTTGCATTCAAAATACTATTATATTATTGTATGAAAACTACTACTATTTTTGTTAGTAAAATTTAGCTTGCAGAAGTTACTTATATATAACTTAAACAAGCATTCAGTGATGTTACCTCACCCTTTGTAACTCCCACTTTTCTATAAGATGTTCCACTTCACCGCCAAGAACTACAGTGTTATTGTCATCCAAAAGCAAGAATCCATTTTTCACTTCAATAATTCCTGACAGCTTAATTTTTGTTCCAGGTGGAGTGTTCAGGCTAAAATCAGAAACAAATGCACACAAAAATTTCAAACATTATATTCAGAGATTCCACCAGACAAAACCCCATCACAGGGTATTAGACAGCAGTACAGTAAATAACGTGCAGCAATAATTACAGAAAACTAAAACTATACGTGTATGTTTTCCCATATAAAGAAAGACTGATATGGAGTTACTTTTTATCTGAGTAAGCCTATTTATAGAACCAAAGTAAATACTTTTTAACTATAAAACACTGGAAACATTCAGCCCCGAGTGAGCTGTTGGGACTATTTGCTTTTGGCCTTTTTTGTACATTTTTTTATTTAAATGAAATAAACCATGCTTAGGAAAAACTATTTAAATCAAATTATTAAGGAAACAGCTATTAAATAACCTTTGAAATGTAGACTGTAAATAATCATAAATACAATAAATATAATATGACATTAGGATTGCATCATTCAAATTAAATTTTATGTTTAGGAAAGACTCCAGATTAGCAACCTGGAGAAATATATTGCTCTTTATTTAAACAATTAGAGCACAAGTGGCAACACAAACTTTCCTGCACTCCTCTTAAGATATCATCAAGTGGAGATGAAGATTCAAAAACCAGAGGGAGGCACATTGGAGGATGATGAAGATGTATTTATTGTAGGGAGAGCAGTTTCAGTATGTGTTGGTTGTTCTTGAGGCTACTTTGTATAGCTCAAGCTGCTAAAGAATATGCTGTCTCAGCAGCAGTGGTACCAAGGCTGGGACTGGAATTGATAAAGGACACAGCTGACTTCCTTCTATACAACAGACTTCTATACGACACAGACTTCAGTAAAACAGGGGAGCCCAATTCAAAGTAGAAAGCATACTCTATGGATAACAGTAGGGCCAAAGTGGAACACAAATCGGCATAGGAAGTGAGTTCTATCAACTCCAAGTCTACTTCTGTGTGAACATATACAGCATATATATGAACAAATGTCAAATGAAGGAGAGAAGCATCTCAGGGCTTCCTGTAATCTAAACAGCAGACATGTGAATCAACCTCTAACTCTGATATTCCAATAGCTTCTGAGGCACAGTACCAGGACCAATCGCGTGGACACTGGTATCAGAGATAACATCAGTACTTGCATGGGTGTGATATCCTGTCATCCTTGAATTTTCATCAGTCTTTCTTCAGAGTTGGTGGTTGCTAACAGCATGCATCAACTCTGCTGGCAAGATCATAAGGAGATACAAAGGGCCAAACTGGGGCAGTCCAAAGGTTCACATAGCCCGACAGCCGTCAAGGCCGTGTGCTTCACAGGGAATAAACAGAACAAGTAATCATCAAGTGATCCATCTCATGGTGCTCATTCCCAGCTTCTGGCAAAACAGAAGTGGTCATGAGCATTTGCACGGTACAAAGAGGTGATGCTGAAATGTCCCCATCAGTTTGAAGCAGTAGGGAGTCCAGCACCACAAGGTACCAAAGGTCCTTAGCAACTTCATCTTCCCCCAACATTGCCAATGTCAAGAGGACCAGTTGCACCAAAGTATGTGGTGGTGTTCAGGTTGATCCCACAACACATACATCACCAGAGGGGTCACTGTCTATAATTATCTGACTACAATCTAAAATTTGAAATATGCTGAAAAACAGAGGAAACATCTCTGAAACCTCATGTACTACAGAAGGGAACACTTCAAACACAAAAAGAATCACATTGCAATCCTCCAATTGGAAGGAAAAAGAAATCAAGAAACCTATTTGAAACCAACAAAAACAACTTCATAACGCCCAAAACACAATGTTGCGCCGCTTTTCAGAAAGTGCTCTTTTATAATATCTCAACAGCAAGTTACTTAAACAGGAATAGAAAATATTAGTGCAATATCCTAAGGATGAAGGTAATACAAGTGAAACTAATTGAGAGAATCATCCATAAGACTGCGTTGTTATTGCCACTCCATCAGTAAAAATGGAGTCTGATTTTCTTTTTTTCTTGCCAAAATTATCTGTGACAGTGGATATTTTGCAATGAGTATGTATAACTAGATGCAACAGATGATAGTTGAACCATCTTCAGTAAGAAACTAGGGTACAGCAAAACTAAATCACATATTTCATCAAAAATGAACAGCTAAGAGGAGCTCAACAACAGCAACGGCACAAAAATCAGACTACTGAAAGAGCCCTATATTCCTCCAGAGCGAAGAGATTTTGCCTTTAGAGTTAGATAAGGTTTTAGCATAACAAATTCTGTTTTCTAGCATATCCAGTGTTTAAACAGCATTCATTGAGATTTATTTATTAGCATTAGCCAGAAAAACACAGTTTGTCATTCAAGTCCATGATATTTTGTGGGGCAATTGGAGGGAAAACCCTGCACCATTATATTGCCCTTTCAACATGAACACCCTATTATTCTTGCCATTTGAACATAAACACCATCATTAATTACCCTGAAAAATACCTTGATAAAAAGCAGCTGCAAGTTAGACAGTTGATGAACCAGGAAATATATCAGTCTTGTAAGAACGCAACACACAAAAGTGCATATCCCTTGAACTTTATTCATTTGCCATTTCCCACCCCATGAGATTGGTGTCTTGGTGACTATGTTTCTCCCCAGTCTCAATCCAAAAGCCTGTTACTCGTTACAGATATAAAAAAACACATTAAAGAAACAGAGACGTGTACAAAGTTATTGCCATTAATTTATATTATTAAATCTTTCTGAGCTTCTCTTCTTTCCATTTCCAAAAGAAGTGCACAGTTAAAAAGCCTCAGAAAGAAATACTTCTGATATTCTGGGGAGCAATTTCATTCACTCATCTCTCACTGTGCTTTACATACATTATTAGCAGAGCTTGGTGCGGATACAAAATTGGTACCTGTGGATATAAAGTTGATATCTGCAAATTTGCATCCATATAAGCAAGGCTCGACAAACCACTGATTCTACTCGCCCGTGGCAAGTAGATTTCAGCCAGTCGCTCCATGCACCCCATTCACCAGTGCTGTGTGCATGGGCAGTGCCCATCTGGTGCATGCGCGGTGTGGGGCTAGCGAGTAGCTCTCGCAGCAGTTTGTCAAGCCCTGCATATAAGTATATGCAAAAATTAGCCATTGATCTCTGCATCCACATGCAGGACATGAAGTGAATATCCACAGATTTGCAGGACTCTAGTTACCAGCACTGCACCACAAAAAAGATCTAGTCTAACTAAGGATCGTGACCATGTACTCAATCTTTGAACGTTTGGTTTTCACAAATTTGCTGGCTCTTGTATGCCAATAGCTAATTTTACCTATGCTGCTTAACATTTCAGTGTTTTTCAGGTTTCCTCTTCCTCACAAATCTCCCAGACCATGGTCTTTGATTTTATTCTCTATCGAACTTAACTATAACTAATACAAAGAAAAATGCAAGCTCTCAGGCATGGAAGGAGCAAAAAGCAAAAACTATATTCTTTCTTCAATAAAAATCAAGAACAGCAAAAGAAGAAAAGGGGAAAAATAATGTAGTCAAGAACCAAAAGGACTATTGCATTGTAGGAATTACTTCTGCTTATTTTTCAAGTTATTTTGACATGGGAAATATTTTGCATGTTATTTTTTTCATTAATTACTTTTTATATAATATTTAGTGAAAAAAATTGTCATCCACCTTATTTTTGACATATAATTATATTCTATTGCTGTGCAGCTTGTGTGTCCATCAGTCATCTGCAAACGCAGCATTCTGGGAGCAGCCTGAGATTCTTCATTATCCTTTGGTGCAGCAACATTGCGTATTTTTTGTATCTGCAGGACACATGGGCCTTCCAGCTATAAATACAAAATGGAAAAAATGCAAAGTGAAAACATGAAAAACTCAATCAATTTTGATTTTTTTAAATTGGCATTTTACTATATGGTGTTGTCATATAAACTAGCCATATAAACTGAAGCCCATAGGACACACACAGTCTTGTGGTCTGAAATTTCTGAAGTTTCATGTTTTAGATTGAATTTTACATAAAAATGGATTTGCAGAGAAAAGCCATTCTTCTATGTTTACTAGCTACCAATTATCTGCAGGGGATGAAGAGTATTTTTTTTAAAAAGCTAAGAAAATATTGTCACTTTCAGATTATATGGGAGACCGAACACCATAGGTTTCCAAAGTCACAGTACAGTAACAAGAACATCAGCCGGCTGTACAGATCAACTGGCTTTAAAAGGGCTTTTTTCCCCAGATAGCTCTGACAGCTCATCTATGGGTTTGTGTCCACTTACCCAGAGAGTGATACTCCAGAGATTATCCCAAAGGGTTTGAGTTAGTGGGTCCAGTAAAGACCCACTGAACTGACCACTGATGGTGCCCTGTCAACCCCAGTACTCCCATGGAGTAAGGGTAGTCGATAATAGAGTTTTTCCTATTGAGCTCCCAGTGGGGATGCCACAGAAATTTGACCTAAGGTATGTCGACTCCAGTTACGTTATTTTCATAGTGGGGGTTGCCTCTTACGTGGACTTTTTCCCCTAGTATAGACCTGACCTAAGAACATAGGGTCTTCAATTCAAGGTCTAACAATTAGAAGAATGTATTTAAACTAAATTCACTAAATCCACAATGCACTACATATCCCAATGAAAGAATCTCATTTGGTTGACTTACAGTCAGAGTGGATTCATACAAATCCAAGTGATTTCATAATTTCAATGAGCAATGATTTCAATGAGCAAGTACAAAATCTTGTTTTTAAATCATTTTTATCTTGTTTTGCATTTGTATTTTTAGTTGTTTGGCTTAAAAAATAGTTGGTACAACCACAGAAGAATGTTGATTCACAACTGAATATAGCCATTAAGTTTTTTGCTAACCCAGAATATCCATTATATCTGCACTCATTTTATTTCAGTGACTATATAACTTTATAAACATCTACTTAGTTTCTTAATTTTGTACATTTATTTATGTTTAAAATAGCAACGATGCATTTCTTATTTACGAAATGACCTTTTTTTAACCCAAGCTGTATTTGAGAGGTCATAGGAATGTACTTAAAAATGTAGAAAATTCAGTATTTTAATTTTTTTTTATTAGTTAAATAAAAATTACCTTAAATATGGAAAAAGGTTTAACAAATGGAAAAAGGTTTAACAAAAAAACTTAGTGATTATTAAACAAAATATGTACTTAGCAACTTGACAGATTGTTTTAGTCACCATGGCCCAGATTTTCAAAGCTATTTAAGTGCCTAAAGATGCAACTAAGTGACTAGAAGGGTTTTCTAAAATGCCTAAGAAGATTAGATGCTTAGCTTCTGTTGAAAAATCAATACAAGTTAGGCACCTAATGTGCTTAGATTGTTTTAAAAAAATCTCCCTAGGCATCTATTTGCATCTTCAGATTCCTATATACCTTTGATGATCTGGCTTCCGATCTTTCAAGTTCTTAGAATTAGTAAATGTCATCTCCCACATTATTTTTATTCAGAGATTGGAAAAGGAAAACAAACTCTCCCACTTTAACAAATTTATTTTCCAAACTGTAATGAATCAGTCCGTATGAAGAAAATATTGTCTCTGAGTCTGATAGTCAAACTCAAACAAAAAATGAGGCAAAAGCTTTCCTGCACAATAAAAACTGAAAGTATTACATTTGGGGGGAAATCTATATAGCAGCATACATTCCATCAAAGCTGCAAATAATATAGGTACTGAATATACTATGTGGCACTGTGGCTTATTTACACAGCTTGAGTTGACCTCAAAAGTTTTCCCTGATTGTGTATGTAATTAAAAAGCAGCAACCTTTAACTCATTAACACTTGTGAGTGCTCACCAATTCAACATGTTTTCTTTCATATAAACGATAATAGACCACAGCAGGACTGCTCAACTTTGGAAGCCCCTGGGGCTACAACAATACTCACAGCACATGCCTAGGGCCACAACTTAAGTGTGGTTGCATATACAAGCACATATATACACAAACAGCTTCTTTCACACATTGCCCTGACACTCCAGGCACCTCGTCCCTGGGGGCTAGAAACACTTGACACCCTGAACCCATCTGCAACCAGTCTGTCAGCTTGTGTCTTTCAAATGCTCACCCCGCCTGGGAGACGCCTCACCATTGCAGAGCATGTTCCCAATGGAAGTCATGTTCAAAGGATCACACCCACAGGCCCCATCTTGAGCACCATGCAAACCCAAACTGCACCGGGGGGACACAAACAAACTGGCCACGGGCTGCATGTTCAGCAGCCCTGGACTACAGTAAATTTAAGCCTTAAAGTAAGTTGTGATTTCCAAAGTTTAATTTTAGGGAGGTTAATTTTAAGGAGAAACATTACTTTAATTTAAAAATGAAGAATAAATTTTAAGGGATTTGTAACCACCTTGGTTATAGTTAAGATGTAGCACAAAGATGTTGGCTCCCCTCCACTTCTCTGATCTGCAGGTACAGAGGATTAATCCCAGTCCCTCTAAATACAAGGAAAAAAATATGCTTCATCTAGATTTTAGTCTCTAGTACGCAAGGCCAAATCTACAATAGATCTGGAAGATCAGCATCAAGAAAATGGTTGTACTGGAACAGGGGTTACACAAGATTCTCCAATTACCTTCAATGCAACACAGTTTGAAGGATTTTGGTGGATCACAAAAACAGGAAGTGGAAGCTGACCGATACAATATGAATTTATCTGAAGGAAGGTGAGGGATAAATCAAGAAGGAAGTGATTAAAGGAACAGAATAGAAAAAAAATATATAAGACTGATGGAGAGAGAGAGAGAAATTTGGGTGAAAAATAAAAAATTAAAGCGATTTCAGGTGGGAAAAAAGGATTTTGCTGAAGTTAAGAAAGAATACAAGTAACTAAGGGGATACATACTGAAGGAATGCTGGGAAGGAAGAGATAAAATAATGCATCGAAAGAAGAGAAAGGGAGGTGAAGGAGCTGCTGAGAAAGAAAGGGAAAACAGGAATTAAAAATAACAGAATCGGCAGTCTGTGCAGGAGAAGTAAGAACTAGCTCTCTCAGAACCACATTACCTATTCTCAAAGCTGGTCTCATAATTAAAGAAAAAATCAAGCAGAATACATGGGAGAGTATGATGAAATGCAGTATTCTGTATTCACTGCTATGATTAGTTACTTTCAAAGTTAAGAGTCCTCCTCATTGTGCATATTTTTCTATGTCTAAATTGGTCTCCTACTACATATCAACATAGCATCTAAGCAGAGTAACTGACTGTGCAGCCTTGAATTAGGAGTTGGAGAAAAAATAAAAAGGGAAAAGAAAGACCCCAAGATTTTCAGTGGTACATTTTTACTTTCACACCTTATAAAAATATTTTAAGGAATCTACATCTTAGTAGTCTCATTAAATTTACCAAATAGAAACACTGGATGGATAGCTTCTGACAATTCATGAATGTAAAAACTACTGAACGTTTACTTGAAGATCTACTTAAACTTGAACTTTTTATATAGTTACATCTCTTCAGTAAACTCATATACTGGTTCTATTTGAAGAAAATATGTGACAATGATAAAATATTGTCAATGATTTTTGTTGTTGGTTGCAGGTAGCCCAATCCTGCTCTTATTGATTTCAAAGGTGGTTATTGGCCCAATCCTTCTTTCTAATGTCAACGTGAGATTTCATTCCTTTTCAGTCAATGGAAGCAGGACTGGACACTACATATACATAAAACCAGTCTATCCTACACCGGATATTTGAAGTTTACAAAGAAAATAAAATCTTTCTAAAAACAATCAACAGAAAAAAAATTCCTGTGGCTTAAGTGGTACAGGCCTGTATTTATGAAGCTGCAGGATGCCTGACTACATGCCACTTCAGTAGGTAGGTAGCTCATCAAAGAGGAGATAGGACTTTAATTATGGAGAGGCTATCATAAGACAGACTATATTTCTGCTGTATCACAACTAAAATAGTCCTAAGACATTTAGATTTGTCTCACTGAAAAGTCTGATTGACATCTACAGCGTATTTTCTTCTAGAAAATTATAACAATATTTACCTTTTTTCAACAAGACATGGAGTATCTGGCAGCGTGGATTGATTTAAATCAAAGCAATTAAAATGATGATGTTAAATATGATTTAAATCAGCAACAACAAAACTTTGATTTAAATCATCTTTTTAAATCAAGTTGTTCGTTTAATTTTTTCCCTCTATAAAGGATTATTCTCATTCGTTGTTAAGAGAGAGTTACTGACCTTAGTCAGTAATAGCGGTTCTTCAAGGTGATTGTTGCTGTGGGTACTCCACCTTATGTGTCTGGGGAACCGCAGCACCTCTAATGGGAGAATTTAGGTAGTAATGCCCTCGGTAGGCTGAGCATGCAGGGCAGCTGGCATATGCCAGTGTGACTACTCTGCATGCATAGTGAAATGTCCCTTCAGTTCCTTCACTGCCCCAGAAATAGGTGGTTCCGAAGCAGAGGAGAGGAAGGGCGGGAGGTAGAGTACCCCCAAGGACAACCATCTCAAAGAACCTCCATTACTGCACAAAGTAACTAAGCTTCTCTTCTTCTTCTAAAAGTATCCCTTTTGATGGTCCACCTTAGATGACTATTGAGCAGTACTCTTGCTCAGAGGAGGGAACTTTCGTTGATCACGAGACCACTACTATATTTTGATATATATAACCTTGCTCTCTGTTCTATAGCCTAGGAAACCAGATAAGTATGGAGCTGCTCTATTATACTGTGTCTCTTGCTTATCCTCGATGGCTCTGCGTAACAACTTCAGGGTCAACTTCCTTGTAATCTTTGTAATCTGTTAGTTTGTAGTATAGGAAATTGTTGAT